AATCAGCGTCTTTCGCATTTGGCAAACACTATGGTGACGTCAACACTTGGTTAGTCCACTCTATAGTTCTCTAGCTCTTTAGTTCACTCACACTCTATGGTTTTCCCCATATATTGATCAACAGAAAACAAAAAAGAAGGATGCAAATGGCACTGTGTTCTGTTTAGTTTGCATAAGATCCTACTTTTGTGGAACCAGAGGGGATTTCATACGTGCTGCTATAGTGTTTGAGGTATAATAGCATCATGTGTCTGAGTGAACAGATTCAACCAAAAGATGTACATAATTAAGTGTGCCAGTATTACATTAGGGACTGACACATGATTAGGGACTCACTCAGTCGGGGTCTCTGTGTCCCCCTTGTCTCCAATTTCCCCTTCCCCATGCCCTGTAATTGCATCTTAAATAAATATCCTGTCTAAATGTATTTGATGTCAATGAGAGGATAGGGAACAGAATACACCTGCGCCCACTTCGCCTGGTATACGTGGAAAGAATAGGAGCCCAGTCTTCAATCTACCGTCCCTGTCAATGATTATACTGAGAGTTATAGAGACAAACAGGTATTGCTCTGACTTTGCAGCACTCTGCAGCTCCAACTCCTCTTAGGCTGTTTTCTTCCCAGATAAAACTAAAAGGAAGGATTTGCAAAACACAGGATGGGAAGATAAAAGTCAATTGATTTGAAAAGGGGAGAAAAAAATCATTCCAGAACTTTCCGGGAGGGAGGACAGCTGCATATAGCAGCAGATTCTCTGAATGTTTTGCACTTTGAAAAGGTGAGGAAATACTAAAGTAAAACTGAGCTGACTGTGCCTTTGCATGCACACAGCCCTGAGCAATACAACCATGTAGACAATAGTACATATTTCCTGGTTATAGAAAGAACTACTATAGTTTTCTTCTTCCTCATGTAAAACTCATAACCTCCAGAATTAACTCGTTGAGCTCCAATGGCTGGACTATAGGAGCACGGGATGAGGCCTTTCAGAAAATATAGATATGAATTGCACTCTGCTGTCTTGCTGTATAATTGTGGCAACATTACTACTGACATTTCTTGTCAGTAGCTTTATATAATTTGATTTTGTCTTCCTTTTATCCGTGGTCACAAGCAGGGCAGGCTCATTGGAAACCCTTTGTCTGTAATATTCCAATATTATGTTTAACTTTGAGCATCTTAAATCTAAGGTATGTAAGGTGTGTAGGGGTAAGCTATGTGTACTGGGTGCAGCTCTGACTGCCACCCCCCAACCCAGAAATGAATTAAGGAGAAGAAGATGGATGGAATCTTAAAGCTAAATCATGGAGAAAGATGGAATGCCATATTATTACCATGGTAACTGCAGGTTATAAAGGTTATCAAGGGCTCCTTTAAATGGAGAGAAAATATAGCTTACTAATGTTATTTTAAATACGTTTTAAAGCAGCTGTGGCAACAGTAGTAGTTTTTATTTATTTATTTGGATAAATAGTAGTTTATCATCCACCGTGTATGGAGTGAATAAATAATGTCATGCCAATATTGAATTGGTTTTAAATTGCACTTTTTGGGCAAAGACGCTGTGTCTTTGCCCAAAAAGTGCAATTTAAAACCAATTCAATATTATCATCATTATAGACAATCAATATTAACTAGTATGTACATTCTATTTCACTCCAATGACATAATGGGGACTTTTGCAAATGTTTTACAATGTGTTTAAATGGCAAACAAAATGAATCTGAATCTTTGATTTTTAGTATAAAATGAAAGTGTAGCTGCCCACCAGGAAACCACATGGAGCGAAGCCAGGATGAGATTACAGACGTGTAAAAGTCCACTGCTGATCACTTTCACAGCTTGAAACACATCTTTTGTTTGTCATCTACAGCCGCTGCTTTTACTTTGAAGCCCCCATCCTGTGTGGAGGATTTCTGTGTGAAAATGCATTCAGAGACACATGAAATACATGCAAATGCTATGTTAATCTATCGGAAGCGCCTGAGCAGCTCATCTTTTCAATATATTCCTTGAACGCGTCACGTAACATTTTGAATCATTTATGTTTTTGAAAGATATAAGCTGCATTTTCTGAACACACATAATGTGAACTACTGCAAAGTGCCGGCACCCTCAGTTCTCCTTTGAGTTATTATGAGCTACCTGTTTGTGTGGGTGTGCTGCACTGTTTAATGAGCCTAAAGGAAAGAAGAGCAAATGTATAAGGATTATATGAAAAGATTTGGGCTCAAATAATAAACATATTTCAAACTGAAAATCAGCTCAAATTTTGTTCATGGAGCTCCCAGTAAAATCCAAACAAAAATTACTCCATGCATACTTTATCATTATACATTTTGTAACTTAGTCTAATTTGTGCAAAAATGCCATTGTCAACATTGTCTCTATAGCTGGGCAATACATAGAATCATTGATGATATTGGTCTTCTAGCTTCTCTTTTAAATCAAAACTTTTCGAGACTGCCTCAATCACTTGAAAATGTTTTACTTGATGTGTGTAGTCTAGTAGATGTGTAACCTTGCTGCCTCTTGGCCAGGAAAAAGAGATTCTTAATCTCAATGGGATTTTTCCTGGTTAAATAAAAGTTAAATAAAAATAAAATAAAAACAAACAAGAAAGTCCTAGGTTTGAATCCTGGTCAGAACAGGGCCTTTCTGAGCAGAGTTTTCATGTTCTCCTTGTGTCTGCGTAGGTTTACTCAGAGTGAAACGGTTTCTTCTACTACTGAAAACATGTGTAATTGGTAATAACCTCCAGCTCCGGTCCTGTCCGAGCCGAGCATCAACATCTGGAGATGGGCTTTGTACCTCAACACCACTGCTTCTAACAGAGGCCCTAATGGCATTGAAGGATGGGTCAAATGCATCCATCCATCCATCCATTTTCTACCCTTTAATCCATTTCTGGGTCAGGGGGGGTGGCAATCAGAGATGCCACCCAAGTCTCATAGCACCAGCCCCTCACTGACCCTCTGCAGGTGGTGAGTCCACAGGAGGACGGCTGCTCTCTGAGTGTGAGCATAGCCTTGATCTTTCAGTGGGGGCTTTGGGCAAAGTGGGGTTAAGTGTCTTGCCCAAGGACACAACGACAGCAGTCATCAGTGGGAGTCGATGGAGAAGGTGTAGAGGTGGGAATTGAACCCACGACCTTCTGGCCTTAAGGCCAATGCTCTACCAACTGAGCTACTGTCGCCCCCTTCTAGCAGTCAAATGCAGTTTTGGATTATAATTTTGGACATCAAGTAAATAATTTATAGTCCTAACTAAAAGGAAAAACTGCAAAACACTGGTTAAGAAATAAAACAAATAATATAAACAATAATATTCAATACAATTCTCTTCTCTCTGTATATTAAAAAACTTAAAGCTGCACTAACTGACTTTATTTTTGTATTAATTACGAAAGTGCTATCCATGTCCATGTAGTGCATCGGGATATACGTCCTTTTGAAGAAAAAGTAGCACAGATTTGTGCTGGCGAGAGCATTGTATTTTAGATCGAGTTTTGATGAAACAAGGAAGAGATGTGTTTCGGGTCGCAGATTGTGACCAATCACAGCGGACCACTAGCCCCCACTTTCGTGAGAAATCTACAGGTCCGTTAGCAAAAAGAAAGTCTTGTTCCTCCGCGCTTCCCGGTTCTATCGTTCTATGGTCACGCCAGCCACGTGCAAATCCATGTCCATGGATTTATCCATATTGGGAGGCGCTAGCTCCGTCCCAACAGTGGGTGTGTGTGGGGGGCGATATCTTCGTGGGTGCGGGGAGGGGAGCAGAAAGAGAGAGGTCAGCGGGTCCGCGGCTTCAAAATCCCAAAGTCAGTTAGTGCAGCTTTAAGTCATACACATTCTAATTTGTTAAGTTTGTAGGAATTTTGTAAAATTAAACTCCCAGGAAGCTGCATTAGCTTATTGGCAGGGGCCCATAAGTAAAATTGTTTACATCATCTGTGAATATTCATTAAAAAAATGAACACAAATGTAAAAAAAAATGTGAGAGAGGAAAGAATGCAATGCAATTATTATACCAATATGTCACATATATCACATTCAGAGCAGCCCTAGATTAGTTTTGACAATTTCTCAGGTGAAATTATGTCCTCTGCAATAACGTGTTAGTGGTTGCAGCTGGTAATTTTCAAATTTGTAAAAAAAAAAACCTTCTTGTGGTAACCAACGGATAGGGCAAGCCGATAGCATTATTTACCTATATATTTTCAAATGAAGATATTGGGAAGTGTATTCATTTCCTAAAACGTGAAAAGAGAAAGTAAAGTCAAATTCAAATTTTGAATGGCCAAAAAGAGCGTATTATTTCTAACACCGTATGTCCCATTCAACCACAGCAAGTCAGTTTTGTGGATTATGTTGTAATAGAATCATCCAGGAGGTTTCTTTTAGTTACAAAGTGGAGGTCTCTCGAGAAAAGCCACCGTCGGCAAAGATAATTACGGCCTGATGATTAAGCCACACACAGTGATGAGGAGGGGATACCTTTGATGTCGGTGGGTGCCGTCGGACCAGGAGAAGACTGAAGACAGCAGCTCGGAGAAAGATGGAGCGTTTGTTCAGTCCACCAGGAGAGAACTGCAGCGAGAAAAGAACAACAAAGGAAATGAAAAACCCTGCTGACATTGCATTGTAATATAGGGCTCTTATGTAATGTAGTGTTGCACGGCTGTGGGTTGGCACGCACTGTATACAATTGCAAACATATGGAGGTGCTGCTTTCTGTTCACACAAGCCCAAGATATGGCAGTGCGGAGAGATGTGACGCTAAATGACACGTGCATTAATCACTGCAAGCATAACAAAGACTGAGAAGACCCAATCAGAAAGTCAAATCAAAATCCTTTAATTGCCTTTTTACAACATGTTGAATAGCATTGTAATTGGGAAAGTTTTAAAATGAGATATATTTACTGAGGTTTTGACTTGAATAAAACCACTCATTATAGCACAAATGACAGTTATATAGTGCTATTTTCACTCTATGTTTACTTCAGACAACCATAAGTCACACACATTCTGAAACCAAGATGAGGAGACTGGCGTAAAGGCATCTCGGCCACAGACCTGAGAAGTTTACACAGACGTGATTGAAGACATATGATTAATTTTCTCGTATTGAGCTGCAGTCATTACTAATTAGAAGCTGATTTGTGGTGATAATGATTGAGTGGATATTTCATTAATCCTTCTTCAGATTAATCAAATATAAGATATCTCAGTATGGCCCAGGTAAAGCTGGAAAGCAATTTCCAATATTTTTGTATGCAATTATTTCCTTGTGTGTGTTAAAATAAAATCTCAACACATAAAAAAGTTGTAGTTTGTAAACAGTTAACTAAAATCAATCCATAAAGATATATAAACAAAGCAATACATTGTTACAGCACTAGAAACCATGCAACCATGTGCAATCACATTTGAAATTCTCATTGCATGATTCAATCATACACACAATGGTGAATATTACCAAGCTACAAGTCACAGCTGCCTGATGGATGAGAGGTTGCCAATCTTCACATCGACCAACACCAGACTCATACAAGGCAATGTGGGTGAAGATAAAAGTTATGATAATACTAAATAATAATAATATTTTTTCTAGCGGCCTTTCAGAGCACTCAATCAATAAAATAAAACAATTGAAACTGGATGAGTATGGAATGCTTGAACAGTAGCGAGGGAGTTGGTAGTGCAAAGGGCAATTGAGAGTGAGTTCCAGAGCAGGGAAAGCCTTGCCTAAGGACACAATAACTGTTTGAATTTTAGATCCACAGACGTCCCACTGTGGCACTTGGTTTTCCCCGCTGTCTGAGATCTGATCAGGCTTTGACACATAAGCCTGCCTAGGTAAATGTCAAAATATGTCAAAAATGTTCTAACAAAACATCTGCATAACATAAAACGCTGGTAATAGCCCTACAACTCAAGCTATCACTTTCAGTCAAACGATACATAAACCAGACCTCAACAACACCTCATGGCTGCTGAAAAAGGCATCACAAACACACAGATAAGGAGGGCCGTCATGTCCGGCATCACACTTGTCCCGCGCCAAATTGGTGGTGATGGTTGGTGCCGTGGGGGATATCAGAGAGCCATGCGAGTCGACCTGTGCGGAGCAGCGCTGGCTTTGATGGAGAGGAAACAAACGGCTGGAAGCAGAGACAGACAAGCCTTGAAGATGTCACTGATGATGAAACCCAACCTTCAAACAGCCACAACTCCACACGCCCCAGTCTTAATCCCATGTAAGGCTTTCCAACAAATTGCCTCATGCTGCAAGCGCTATTTTGACAGTCTGTAAAAACGAAAAGTAAATTCATATCTGTCTGATGTAAACATGTGGCGACTAAGTGTGCTTGATATGGACTGAAAAAACAAGTCACATTTCCTGCACATAACCTAGCCTGGCCTTAGCCATCCGTACATTCCGTTCAATCATAATTTCACTGCATGTAACGTCTGGGTCTGGTCCCTGTGTTAGCGATTACAATCGGTTGAATTTCGACCGACCATTTAGAGAGCGTGCAAGGCAGATGTTGTAGTTAGTTGTGGGTGATGTCAAGAGTTTGCGTTGAACGGGCAGGTTGCAGTTTGGCGAAAAATGTGATAGTAAAGTAATCCGGTCTGGTTCTATCAAGAAATCGAAGCCGGAGCAAGAGAAATGTTTAGCAAATGTAATCGCTGGAAAAATTGTGGCGCTACTCCCCACGGGGTCCGTTAGCGGCAAAGGAGATGGCTAGGCTAAATGCTAAATGCTAGCGACAGACTCGGGCACATTGTATATGTCACAGTAAACTCAGATCCAATCGTTTCAATCTGCAAAAGGAGTTAACCCCTCCTATCTGTAAATGGAGCTCAATGGAGCACCTCCAGACCTTAGTACGAAATGTAATTTGTACTATGGTGTGGTACGACCAGGCTACACATAACCTAGAGACAAGATGAAACTTGTAAATATGTTGTCAAAATATAAGATGTTTCTACTAATGGAAGTTTTTGTCAGAAAGTTTAAGAAGACATGTTATCTTCATCTGTTATAAACGCTTGTTGCATTTGGGGCGACTACTGGAAACGTGTTAGGAAGAACCAGTGGGGCCACTATACTGACACTTTAGGATGGGAGCTGATTATCTGTACAAGGGTGTATTTAAGTATTCTTGCTGGATAAATTTTCTCAATATTGTGGTCAATACAAATCTAAGTGAAGAACCATTCTTAAAATGTTGAAAAATAAAATGTCCAAATGTTATTCAAGATCATTATTTGATAGTGAATAGATAGTGATTAAATCTGTCATTGTATTCTTATGTTTGAAAGGACAACGTGCATATGTTTTGAATATTGACACCATTTCTATGAAGCTTCATGAGAAAATATTTATACCACAATTGTTGATATGAAATTTTGTGACAGTTTTTGGTTCATGTGGATTGGCTCAGGGATTACAGAGACATTATATTCCAATAGGTGCTATGAAAGGATTTTTACACCACAATTGTAATTCAATTCAAAAAGTGGAACCAATAAATGGTATAGACTCATCACATGCAAAGTGACGTATGCCAAGCCTTTGTTTTAAGGAGCCCATTTAAAAAAATATTCTACATTTATTTGAGGTTTTTACAAGGTGTGAGCCAGAATGACCAACATTTAATTGAATTTATTTTGTATAGAAATCACAACATTAATAATCTCTGAGGACTTTACAAAGATTAGCCAACACAGAGCAAAGAATAAAACAGTTCAAAACATTTCAGAAACATGACCTCTTCAGTGGCCCTCTACATATACATTGCATCAGTAAAAGTAAATAAATCCTATGTTGCTATGACTGCGAGCCAACATGATTCAAGTACGTTTCATTAACAACGATCAGAAGACACCCACGGACTGAGAAAAAAGTCACCTTCTTCATCTGCCTGACCAGGACGAGAATATGCACAGCTCACTTCAAGGACAGATCGGCTCAGAGCACTTTGGATTCGGGTTCCTACATCAAAGGTGAAGCTATAAGCCCGCCTACATCACTTATCACTTCGTCTCCAATCTTGGCTGCATGTGGACAAGGCCTTACATGTCTGCAGAAGTGAGATTTTTCTTCACATATAGTTGAGCTGACACAAAAGCAGGTTAGAAATGTTAGACCAAGACGTATAACAAGGGTACAAAGAAGCATTGAAGTTAAGGGGAAAATTTATTATTGTGCGAAGTGCAAAATGTCCAGAGTAACAATGGTTATACTGTATTAATAAAATCGGATACCTGTATGTCTGGCAACATGGTGAAAAAAAAACACGAAAAAGCTTATTGTAGAAAATCATTACTCATTGTCATTATGAGGAGAATTGAATGCACTTTCATGAGTCTGGAAAAAATATCTCAAGGGGCTTTCCCTAAATAAAATAAAATAAAAATTGACTAGTTAGACAGAAAGATAAATAATTTATTGATCCCCGTAGGAGAAATTCAGGATACAGTGTACGGTAATATATTTATACAGTAATCTACATAACATAGCGCTTCTCTGGACACTCAGAGACGCTTCTCTTGACATTGATCATTGCCTCCATACACAGTGGTGATAAGCTTCTTCAGTAGTTACAGATGCCCTGGGGCAGACTGCTTTGGGAGCAACCCTAACATTGTAAATAAATCATTCACGACCTGCACAGACCGGAAGGCACGGTGGATGAGTGGATAGCACTCTCGCTTCTCAGCAAGAAGGTCCTGGGTTCGAATTCCGGTCAAAACAGGGCCTTTCTGAGTGGAGTTAGCATGTTTGTCTGGGTAGGTTTCCTCCGGGTGCTCTGGTTTCCCCTACCACTAAAAACACATGTACAATAGATCTGGCATGCGCCTCCTGTACTGGCGACCTCGTCCCCATCTCTGTGTGGAGTGAGAGACAAATGTTGACAATTATAAAAAACGCTTTGTGACTCTGGTCTGTGAGAGGCAGTGTATAAATAAAGATTACTTACTACTAATCAGAATCAGAATCAGAATCAGAATCAGAATCAGAATCATTTTTATTGCCAACGTAAGTAACGGGAGGTCACAGACTTGGAAATTGCTTTGGCTCAGTGCAACAGTCAAAAAGAGATAATAAAAATAAGAATAAAAAACACTTCTAAAGAATAAATTTAAATTTAAAATAGAGTTACAGTTACTATTTACAATATACAAGTGCACATGGTGCACACAATGTAAGGTGACAGCAGTACAGTGAAGTAAAGTGACGTATGATGGGCAGTAAAGTGACTTTATAAAGGGCGGGGGGACAGGTTAAGAAGTGTTCAAGAGTCCAACAGCAGAGGGGAAGAAACTGTTCTTGTGGCGGGAGGTTCTAGTCCTGATGGACCGCAGCCTCCTGCCTGAGGGGAGTGGTTGGAATAGTCCATGTGCAGGGTGAGAGGGGTCGGCTGTGATACGACCAGCCCGGCCTCGAGCTCGGGCGACGTACAGGTCCTGCAGCGATGGAAGGCTGCGGCCGATCACTTCCTCTGCAGAGCGCACAATGCGCTGTAGTCTCTGTTTGTCCCTGACTGTGGCTCCAGCGAACCACACGGTGATGGAGGAGGTGAGGATGGACTCGATGATGGCCGTGTAGAACTGCACCAACATCTGTGCAGGCAGCTTGGCTTTCCTGAGCTGCCGCAGGAAGTACATCCTCTGCTGGGCCTTCTTGATGAGAGAGCTGATGGTCGGCTCCCACTTGAGGTCCTGGGTGATGGTGGTGCCCAGGAAACGGAAGGACTCCACAGAGGTGATGGGGGAGTCCATCACGGAGGGTGGGGGCGGGGGGACAGTGCTCTTCCTGAAGTCCACAATCATCTCCACTGTCTTCTGGGCGTTCAGCTCCAGGTTGTTACCACTGCACCAGGACACCAGCCGGTCCACCTCCCTCCTGTAGGCGGACTCATCGTTGTTGGAGATGAGTCCAATGAGGGTGGTGTCGTCCGCGAACTTGATCAGCTTCACGGAGTCGTGGCTGGAGGTGCAGTGGTTGGTGTACAGGGAGAAGAGCAGGGGAGAAAGAACACAGCCCTGTGGGGCTCCTGTATTTATAATCCGAGAGTCCGAGACATTCTTCCCCAGACGCACTCGCTGCTTCCTGTCCGTCAGGAAGTCAGTGATCCACCTGCAGGTGGAATCGGGCACGTTGAGCTGGGAGAGCTTGTCCTGGAGCAGGGATGGCAGGATTGTGTTGAAGGCAGAGCTGAAGTCCACGAACAGGACCCTGGCGTAGGTCCCCGGGGAGTCCAGGTGCTGTAGGATGTGGTGGAGGGCCAGGTTAATGGCGTCGTCTACAGATCTGTTGGCTCTGTAGGCGAACTGCAGGGGGTCCAGGAGGGGGGAGGTGAGGGACTTGAGATGGGAGAGAACCAGGCGTTCAAATGACTTCATGACGACAGACGTAAGTGCTACAGGTCTGTAGTCATTGAGTCCTGTGATCCTGGGCTTCTTCGGGACGGGGACAATGATGGAGGATTTGAAGCAGGCCGGGACATGGCAGGACTGCAGAGAGGTGTTGAAAATGTCAGTGAACACAGGAGTAAGCTCACTGGCGCAGTGTCTCAGAGTGGCCGGAGACACGTGGTCCGGGCCAGGAGCTTTGCGGGGGTGCCAGCCTCAGGAAGAGTTGTTTAATCTCTTTAGCGGCTATTGTTAGGCTAGGGGCAGGGCTGATGGGTGGGTCGTTAGAGTAGTGGGGGGTGGGGGAGGGAGAGGTGTCAGGGGCAGCATCAAAGCGACTGAAAAATAAGTTCAGATCGTCAGCTAGCTTGTGGTCATCAGCACAGGGGGGGGCTTTGGGTTTGTAGTTGGTGATCTCCCGTAGGCCCCTCCAGACAGAAGCAGTACGTTGTTACCAAACTGCTCCTGTAGTCGTTCTCTGTGCCGGGACTTGGCTGCTTTCAGTTCTTTCCAACTGATATTTAGCTGCTTTGTAGCCGCTGCGGTCCCCCTCCCTGAAAGCAGACGTTTCTTTCCTGAGCTGCCGGAGTTTAGCAGTGAACCAGGGTTTGTCGTTGTTATAGATGACCCTGGTCCTTGTTGGAATGATGCTATCCTCACAGAAGTGGATGTATGACGTTACAGTGTCCGTATATTCATCCAAACTGTCTGTGGCAGCTCTGAAAAGGTCCCAGTCTGTAGATTCCATGCATGCGCGCAGCTCTTCCACAGCTTCATCAGACCACACTTTGGAGCTCCTCACTGCAGGTTTCGAGAGCTTTAGTCTCTGTCTGTAAGCAGGAACCAGATGTATCATGGAGTGATCTGAGAAGCCGAGGGCTGGCTTGGGAACAGCGCGAAAAGCTCCGCGCACGGTGGTGTAACAGTGATCCAAAGTGTTCTCCTCTCTGGTCGGGCATTTGATAAACTGTCTGTATTTGGGTAATTCCTGGCTCAAGTTTCCCTTATTAAAATCCCCCAGGATAATAATCAGAGAGTCCGGGTATAAGCGTTCCATACACAGTACTTGCTCTGCGAGTGCGCGCTGAGCCTCGCGCGCGTCCGCGCATGGCGGTATGTAAACAGAGGCAAGAATGAATGAAACAATTTCCCGCGGGGAGTAATATGGTTTACAATGAATGAAAAGATATTCCAGAGCAGGAGAGCAGTGCTTGGAGATCACTGACACATCGTTACACCAGTTTGTATTGACGTAGAAACAGAGCCCTCCGCCTCTGCTCTTCCCTGAGAGCGCACAATGGCGATCCGCGCGAAACAGCCCAAAGCCCTGCAGCTCCAGAGCGCAGTCCGGGATCCGCTCATTTAGCCAGGTCTCAGTGAAGCAGAGGACACAGGATGTGGCGAAGTCCTTGTTTCTTCTCATGAGCAGGCTGAGTTCGTCCATCTTATTGCCCAGTGAGCGTACGTTGGAGAGAAAAATGCCGGGGAGAGCCGTGCGCGCTCCTCTCCTCCTAAGACGCACGAGCAGGCCTCCTCGCTTTCCCCTTTTACGGGCCCACACTTTTTTGGCTAGAACATGAACTAAATCAGCCGCAGATGCCAAGAAAACAGGCAATAGGTCCATGGGAACGGTGGGTCGGATGTTCATAAGTTCCTCACGGGTGTAGGAACAGCCAGATGCACAGTTAAAAAGTAAAAACAAAAGAAAAAGAGAGCAGCAAAGAGCCATGTCGACCGTACGAGGCGCCATCTTGAATCGAGTGAGTAATAGACAATGCAAGTCTCTTGCTCAAGGACCCAATGACAGTTTGGAAATTTACACTCTGTTCCAAGCAGTCGTCCCTCATCACAGTACTAACCCGACTAATTCAAATGGATGTATTCATCTAATTTGCAATTGATGAAGTTGACATAGTTGTCAAAAATATTAATTTTACATAAATATCAATACCATTACATTCGTACATTTTGTTTGTTTGTTATGTATGGAATAACGATTCATGTTCAATGAATGAAATATAAATGCATCAATAGCATTAGATACAGTAAGGGGCCAACATTTTTTATTTTATAGCAAAAATTTTACTTTATGAAAAATATATGAAATCGTCCCCTGTATTTGCATACCGTATTGTGCCATGTGCATTAAGATACATATCGTATCGGCAGGCTCTGAAAGACACCCAGCCCTTGTTGTAATGGTCTGGATATGATAACGTGGAGTATTTTCCGAGAGGCTGCTCTGGTAATGGGAAATAATTGATGGAGATAGATGTGGGTGAGTCATGTTGTGGCGAGTTTCATATATTAGAATATATTGTACTAAAATTCACTGATACATTTACAGACAAAGGCCGCTTGTCCTGCACAAAGAGGCCTTCACTTTCACATGACCTTCGCAGAGGCGACGGTACCACTCCTTTGCTCGTTATAATGTTAAATGTTTGACAGGTGTACTATCATTCTTTTGCCCTCCCTTCTTTTACCTTGTCTTCCTGCATAACTCAACCCACCTTACCCCCACTGTGGCATGTCTTGTTCTTTGTTCTAGCTTTTTGCAGGACTATATTACCAAATGTTAGATGTGAGCAGAGCAGAGAGAGACGACGCAGACTTTGAGTATGCGTCGCTTCTGTCTGACTCTGCAGAGTTTTATTGTATTTGTTTATTCTCATCACCTTTTAAATAAATTGCACAAAGACAAGCTGTTTTCTCTCGGATCCATTCATTTAAGTATTTAAATTTCCACTACAGTCAGGCTACAGTCACCTGCAGCTAATGCATCTTAACCTTGGAGACGAACCCACTCAGACGGCAGCCCAATCTGAGGTCAAACAGGACGCAGACACCAGACATCAATAAAAACAAAACGGCTCCTTGAAAAACGGATGGAAACAGAATTTGGACAAAAATATACAATCTTGATCATCTGGAGCTAAAAATATTCTCCCACATTCAACAGGTCTGACAGATTGACAGCCACCATCTCCCAAAACCAACAAAAGTAGGTTCTAACAGCGCCACCTAGGGCAGGTTCGACTGCATTTTGGAGTGGTCCAAGATAGGCAATAGTGAATTTCTCAAGCAGCATTCAAATAATATTATTTTGTTAACATTTAATTACATTTATTAGGCCCGAGCCCCGAACGGGGAAAGGGCCTATTGTTTTTGCCCGAGAGATGTCAAATTCTGCACTTTGAGCCTTATTTTCACCCCCTGAACATGCATGAAAAGTTGTAAAATTTTGCCCAAACATCAGCAGTGTTGCCAACTTAGCGACTTTGTCGCTAGATTTAGCGACTTTTCAGACCCCTATAGCGACTTTTTTTCAAAAAAGCGACTAGCGACAAATCTAGCGACTTTTTCTGGTGTTATTGGCGACTTATCTGGTGTTTTGGCGACTTATCTGGTGTTTTGGAGACTCGTGAAGCACGTATTGTTCTGCTGTCCTCAACGTGAGCCCCTCCCCCGTCCCAAAGCACTTACAGGCGGCCAGTCTCACAGTAGCCTTGCGCAGCAGTCCCAGCTACAGTCTATGGGCGGAGCAGAGAGAGAGAGAGGAGACTCAAAAGCACAGGGAGTTTTCAGGCTGCTGCAGACTGAACTTCAGCTCCACCACCACCACACATCCAAAGCTCCCCGGCCACTCCTACCACCGCCACCCCCCACTACCCCCCACTCCATCCGCGGCAGCTCTGTCCGTGACTCTGTTTTCTCTCAGTAGTGGGTCACATTAAATCATTTGTTATGCCAAACTATGAAAAAAAAAAAAAAACTTACAAAAATAAACCTAAGTAACTCTGCCAGAGTGTGTCTTTTGGGTCACTTTGCCGGTCCCAAGCCCGGATAAAGGAGGAGGGTTGGTTGTAGAGCTAGCAATTTCACCCTACATAACAATCTTTTGATTACATTTGCTGTTATAACATTTAACAATACAGGACAAAACTGATGTGTGTAATGTGGATCTAGACAAAGCATTAAAATCATTAAATGTTGTTAATGTTGAAATTATTTTTGTACATTTGTAGTTCTAAACATATTTAGGGTGTTTTTACTCACTTTTGTCTCTCCCACGACCTTATTCCTCTCTCCTACAGCGTCCGTTACAGTTATTTGCAAATTGCAAATTATGCAAATTAGGCGATGACGTCATTTAGCGACTTCTAGCGACTTTTGGGACAGCCAATAGCTACTTTCCTTACTGAGGAGTTGGCAACACTGAACATCAGACCTGGTGAAAAATTTGATATTTGGGTGTTTATTTTTATGGAACTCAAAAAATGCCAGAACAGCGCCACCTACAACAGCCAATGGGAGTTTCAGAGGTCAAGTTTGTCGTAGATTCATGAAATTCGGTACACATGTTCCTCAAGTCAAGATACGACCAAAATGTTATCATGGCTCCGCCCTCTGACAAACAGGAGGCCCATAAATTTCACTGCAAAATGGAAAAATGATCCGCAATAATTTTTATACAAGTCGGTTGGAAATCTTCTCCTCCTCGGCCGTTTCACAGATTTGCCTCAAAATCGCTCCGCATCATCTCAACACATGTACCTTGAAAATGACTTCGGCGATTTTTCATCAGTGAAATGTTGTTCGAACAGGGGAGCAGCAAAATGTGACCTTTTTTTGGCCGTTTTGGACAATATTAAATTTGCTCCCGTTTGCACAAACAAAGTCTGATTTGCACAAAACTTGAATCCAATGTTCAACTCAAGGGTTTAGGTCCAGTGAAAGTGAAATATTTGAAATTGGCCCATTAGCGCCCCCTACAGGTTGAGGCAAAGTTTTCCATGGGGTGCCAAGCAGCTCTTATCATCATATTCATTACAATTTGACAAACGTTCTTCTATGGCAACAGCAACAAATCATCACACGGCGGCCCCACCTCCTTTGCGCGGTGCTGCGTGGTACGGTGTGGTGCGGCGTAGTGCGGGGCGTTGTGGAGCGGCGCGTTGCGGCTTGGTGAGGGGCGGCGTGGTGCAGATCCACTTGGTGCGGGGGGGCGTGGTGCGGGGGGGCGTGGTGCGGGGCGGCGTGGTGCGGGGCGGCGTGGTGCGGGGCGGCGTGGTGCGGGGCGGCGTGGTGCGGGGCGGCGTGGTGCAGATCCACTTGGTGCGGGGCGGCGTGGTGCGGGGCGGCGTGGTGCGGGGCGGCGTGGTGCAGATCCACTTGGTGCGGGGCGGCGTGGTGCGGGGCGGCTTGATGCATGGCGGCTTGGTGCGGGGCCGCTTGGTGCGGGGCCGCTTGATGCGGGGCGGCTTAATGCGGGGCGGCTTGATGCGGAGCGGCTTGATGCGGGGCAGCTTGGTGCGGGGTGGTGCGCCGGTGCGGCGAGGGCCATTCGACGTTGCTTGCGGCTTTAATTTCCCAATATTATTAATATACTGTATCATATAAACATACCAATGTCCCAAAAGACCTTTAAATGAAATAGTTTCACTCAATAATTACTGTAGATAATGTATAATTTCTTTCACGAGAAACTCTGTAAGATATGTTGGTTTAAGAATCACTGCTGACCTTGGCTTCCACTTCTTAAAGGAGATAATTCTACTCTATAAAAGCAAATGACCTTTTAACATGTAAATAAAGCACTATTGAAGAAGGCCTGGCATACGCTGAATCCCACGCAAAAAGCTGAATAAAACACTTTTAAAGTAGTTTCAAGGGTAGAGAAAGGGTGGGAGAAAATTGATTGACTTTGTTTGTTCTTAAAGGTTTTCTTGAAAGTTTTACTAGGGCATTTTCAAAGTTTGGACTCATTACAACTGCATTTGTGACCACTCATGCAAGAATATACACAATTTAGAGCAACAGAGAAGTTTATGACAACAACACAGGCAATAGATTTTTGATTACCTGCCAACAACACAACATGACTGCTTAAAATTATGTCACTTGCACCAATACTTACATTAGTATAGTTGATTGTGTAAGTTGTAATTAAGATAACAACAAAAAGTAGAAAATATTAGCATGCTTTATATTTTTATGATTCAACTTCAATTCAATGTATTTCTGTATATAGCCCTAAATCACAGCAGCTAGTTTGGAGGACTTTGAACATTCTGAACATTGTAAAGCGTTTTGGGTGACCTTGGTCTGTAAAATGCGCTATATAAATAAGCATATAATTGCATACTTTAACAAAATAACACTAAAACAAGTTTAACATCCTCTTCAGCTTCTCACGCTGTTACTGCCACATTTCAGGTGTTGATAATCAAAATCTTATACATCAAATGATCACAATCTTTCTAAACTCAAATTAGTTATCGTATAAATAATAATTATAACTTTTTCAGCTACTTCATACACCATTCCCTCCATTTCATGAACCCAGTTGCATATATGTTTAACGAAAAAAAAGCATACTAATCAAAAAAGAAATATGGCGTCCCCTTTTCTGCTCAAAGAAAACTTTCTGACCATGTGTTCTTGTGATGGAGCGCCCTTTCCAGTCAAAGAGGTTAATACTAGTCAGTGATGCCACCTGGACCTCATCCGCTCAATTCATTTATCCCTCACACTGTTTCACTCTTGCTGTGACACTGGACCACAAACACCACGGCGTTAGAAGGGCTTCATCTGTGGTTATTTCATTTCATTGGTTGTGGGTTTCATTCCAGGGCTCTGTGTTGGGGCTGCAAGTTTTTGGCAAAATATCTAGCTGGATATTTTGGACCAACATGTATTGATTTATTGATTTATTTCAATAATAACACATGAATACATAACAATATAAAGCAATTACCTCATACACAATTCACACAAATTTCAGAATAGTCAAACATATGGCTTTTTTTCAATGTATAAATAAAAGATTCATTGTGAAAATGTAAATGGTATAAACATACATTCTTATAGTTGGACATGTGTGATTCATTAAAATAATTTCATTTTGATAATTTCATGACTAACATTTTCAGCATCAGCATAATATCATGAATTCAAATTTAAGTTTACAGCTTACATTGACAGTTTTAATGGATCAAAACTACAATAGCACCCATAATCCTGGAGTGAAATCTCCTAGAGTATCATGTAGTGGACTAAGCATTTCATCAAAGACAGCATTGTGCATTCAACCCTATCGCTGTCAGTTATGTACCGAACATATGGCCCGCAATGAGTAACAAGAAAATGTGAAGAGGATGCTCTTTACACACCGTTGATTTGAATAAAATAACCTTGCAGGGATGGGGGCATGGCAGAGCAAACCCATGCAATAGGAGGTTATGTAATCGCAGTATGGTGCAGTGTGAGCGTGAGCGCTTTCTTTATCTGGACTTGTCCAAAACCAGCAGAGGGAGAGAGGGAATGGAATTGCTTGCATTATAAGTGGATGTCTATGGCGTGAATAGATCATGCTATCTTTTGTTATCCGTGGCGGCTGTTTGCACTCGCAGGTGATATGCTTGTACATATGGCATGAGGGCCTTGTAGGCAAAAAATGTATCACAGAATTATCATATGTTGGCTTAGAAGGATTAAAAGTGTCTAGAAGTCCAAGTTTTTCCAATAAGTGATAAAGTTCTGTAGTGTCAAAAAAAGATTACATTTGATGGATGTAGTAGACCATTGCAGACCTCTGTGTCATTGTGGCCCTCTACCTCGCTAACCCAGACATAGACTATATATAGATGGACAATGCTAACCCCCTCAAGCTCAATGAAGCCCAAAAGGGAAAGTTTTGCTCCAACTTTACCCCTCAAGCTCAGTTACTGTTTGTTTCACATTTGGGATTCCAAAAATATGTGGTTTATATACGCTCTCTGTGATTCTGGTGTTTCTATGTTGATAAAGTCTTAGTAAACCCAATTTGATGCCCTCATTTGCAGGGGAAACTCTAGCTCACCTTAGAAAACATGTTTCCCTCGGTTATGGCGTGAAGCTTATATCGTCAGACCAAATGCCCATATAAGAAAATTGGCTCCAGCTATCTTATGTTCATATCGGCATCTTCCACATGCAGCAAACACTATGGATAATGTCAGCACTCGGTCAGTCCATTTCTACCAAATGGTCAAGGAACCTAAAGTAGCAATTCAGACCATAATCACAAGTTCAGCCCCATCCAAATACTGTATATCATGCTATACCTTGTCACTGGATATGTAGCTCAAACCCTCTGGCATCTCGTATCTTAGTGTAAATGTACATAGATAAACATAAAAACATACAGATCATAATCATAACTGTGCTCAAAAGGCTGATTGTGACCCGAACAGTTACAGTGTATGAGCCATTTACTTTGAAATAAAAGATAATTGGAGCTGAAGGCAGTATGGGAGCATAATTTCGCCCATGAGCACCTTCCTATTAGGCTCAGCTCGTGGATTAGCTCAGTCCATTCCGATTACATATTCTATGTTCAAGAATGATCAATACTAAGCTGAGCTCAAATCAGGAACTTGCAAAAAGATAATAATTTAAAAGAATTCTACACATATAAGCAAGACAATTCCCCAATTCCTAAGCAAGCAAAGCTTGTGGCGTAAAGTCTGCAGATCCTGATTAATGTGCCATTAAAATATCCAGACATTCCAACAAGTCCATCAGTTGAGAATAAATGATCCAATATCACATTAAAGGCACTATTTTTAGCAGCACTTTTATCAACCCAATTTCCTGAACCACACAGGAAAAGGAAAGGTCACCTCGACCCACTGGAGATTACAGCAAATTTCCAAATAACAGTAAAAGTACCACAAGAGCTCTTTGACGTTTATTTAGTCACGAATGAACCCCACACTAACCTGGAGCCGACCTTTTGCAGAGGAAAAACAATTCCCTTGCGAGATTATCAAAAATGTTAGGAGATCAAAAATGGATTAATTTTTCTCATTGGACTGCGCTGCTTATTTCCATTTTGAGTGTGAGAAAAAAAATATGTTCAAAAGGAAATGGAGCAAAGGCTTCATGCTGAGCTATGGCCTGTGAAGGAACCTGACGAAAGACTAGTGCAAAAACAGTGCATATGGTCCAACTCAATACGAGCAATGCTAAGACAAACATATGCAATGGGACTCCAAGTATATTTAATAATGTGGGGATTTATTTAATTTTGTAGACATCTTTTTGACATTTGGTGTAAATACAGTAAGCCTACTTTTCTTATGGCTTTAACACAATATTTATTTAACTTCATATGAACTTCTACAAGTATAGAAGTAAGTATGGAAATATAGGCTATAAGAAAAAACCTCAAGGCTCTGTAAGTAAGACTTGCCATTTAGGGGCTGTTAGGCGCCCGGTATGGGATTGCGTGCACTCCTCCCCCTTGTTTCCTATTTTGTGTAGGGCTGGATTGGCTGAGGGTCTGTGTTGGGACCTTAAGAGGGGTCCTAGACAGCACTCTCTCTCTCCGATTGCAGACATCTGGACATGGCCAAAGGGTCTGGGCCTGTACACCACGCCGCAAAATGATATCTTCTGTAGAAAATATTTGGTGAAGCAATTGTGATGAGTAAAAAAAAAGAATCCCCATGCTACCACCTAGGGAGTTAGGTTAGTTGAGTTTTTCCCAAATGGCGGCATGTCAAAGTGGTAGACTGACATCATACTATTACAGGACTGAGACAGAAGGGAGTTCAATTGTTTGGGCCAGAAGTTCCTGATATTAGTGTGGATGGATTTTAGAAAAACAACTCCAGGTCTGTTTTTGATCCGGAACAATGTTGCAACATGCTTCTTTAACAGTAGCAATTTGATAGATAAAAACTATGAACCACTTTCTACTTTCTATCCATAAATTCAACAGTAATAAGTGCATTGAGACTGAAGATAAGACCCCAATAAGCAAATTCAAAAAGAAACCATGCGATTGTTGCAAAATGTATCATCCTTTTTTATTATTCATCGGGTTCTCAAGGTTTGTTAAGAAACACTGTATGAGTTGAAAGATGCCCTGTATGACTGTGCTTCTATCATTTATTCCTTTGCCACAAGAAGGAGCAGGAAATTCACTAGAAAGTTGAGTGAGCAGAGGTAAGACAGAGGAGATCTGAAAAGACCTCACTTGTCAGGGCTGTGTAAATGTGGGGAGTAAAGTTTAATTTAGGCTATTCATTTCTATGGTCAACAACAACAAAATCCATGTATATCCAACATTTGAAAAGATTTGGCTGAAGTAAAGGGAGGATGTTGGAAAACGGTATTTTATTATAACAATATGCAAAAATCTGGCCAAAAGTGGTACTGCAGTCACAGTCAATATTTTGTAGTCCTCTCCCACTGTCCCTGACTCAGGTTGCCAGATACACACCAAATCCAGCAACAAACACAGGGAATTATTTTATCAGTTGTTTGTCTGTCTCCATTCACATTGCCATGAGGCGTGCTAATGTTGAATGAATTATTTTTTTGGGACATTTGAGAGAAAAAACACAAA